TTTTGGTCATAGTAAAATATGAAAAAAAATCTTAAAAAAAATAAAAAAAATGTAATAAAAAATTAAATATAATAAAAAAAAATATATATATATATATTTTTTTTTTTCATACTGTCACCAGTCAGTGTCGCTGTTCACCGCCATGCCAGTTATATGATGACGCTGTACTGCACTGGTGACAGTATGTAAAAAAAAAATAGTGAAAATAATTTTTTTAATTTTTTCATTTTCCGAAAAATTATGACAAAAAAATACAACTTCAAAAAACTCGCCATGCCTCTTATGAAGTACGTAGGACTGTCTACTCTGCAAAAAGGGGTCATTTGGGGGATATCTGTACTGTTCTGACATTCTTGGACCTCAAGATATTAGATTGGCTGTCAGTACTTCAGGATTGATCAATATTCAGATCTATCTCATAGTTTGTGAACTCTATAACTTTCCTACAAACTAAATAATACATCCTAATTTGGGTTATTTTCAGCAAAGACATGTAGCAGAATACATCTCGGCCTAAATTTATGAAGAACAATTATTTATTTGTAAACTTTTATAACAGAAACAAAGAAAAAATGTGTTTTTTTTTTCCAAATTTTTGGTCTTTTTTTGTTAATTTAGCAAAAAATAAAAACCCAAGCGGTGATTAAATACCACCAAAAGAAAGCTCTAGTTGTGTGAAAAAAATGATCAAATTTTAGTTTGGGTACAATGTTGTATGACCGCGCAATTGTCATTCAAAGTGTGAGAGCGCTGAAACCTGAAAACTGGCCTGGGCAGGAAGGTGTAAAATTGCACGGTATTGAAACGGTTAAAGTCACTGGTAAATGTCATTGTCAGTTAGTCAGTTCCAACCAGTGTTAGTTAGTGTTAGATTGCCTGCCGCATTATCACAGTCTCACTACGAATCGCTAATCACCGCCATTAGTAGCATGAAAAAGAAATTCCAGTATAATAGTTTGTACATGCTATAACTTTCCCAATCAACATACACTTCTTGGGATTTTTTTTTTTTTTTACTAAAGACATGTAGCAGAATGCCTTTTGGTCTAAAGTTATGAAATTTGATTTTTTTTTATTGGATATGTTTTATAGCAGAAAGTAAAAAACTTTTTTCCAACTTTTTTGGTATTTTTTTATTTATGAAATAAAAAATAAATGTACAGGAAAAAAAGCAGTAGAATAGGACTTTTTAGGCACACCATTATTCATAAAAATTACATTTTTTATTTAATCAATGTATATAAAATAATTTTTTATACAAAAGTATATCAACATTACATATACAATGTTGCAACAATTCATAACATTAAAAACATCTCATCCATGTAGTAAATGAAATCCAAGGAACAAGATATAACAATATGGCCCGACTTGTTTTTTGGATAAAGTCCACTTCTTTAGGAGTCAATATATGCACCAATATTCGAAAATAATAACAACTTCATAATTAATACACCTAATATTCATAATCAACAATAGTTGATCCAGGGAATATCCAATTGCCTCTCGGGGGATCAGGAAGGATTTCTTTTCCCAGCAGGAGCACATGGGATCGTGCTTTGCTGGGTTTTTTTTGCCTTCCTCTGGATCAGCTGTGGGTGTAGGATAACAACTTTTTTTTTTTAATGGTTGAACTGGATGGACTTTTGTCTTTTTTCAGCCAGACTAACTATGTAACTATGAGACAAGTAATAGCAAGAAGAATGCAGAACCTGACGTGCCCCCTCCCTCTGCATTCCTCTTTCTGTTGCATGTCAGGAAAAGTGCTCACAGCCAAGTCAAGCTGCAGCTATGAATCAGCCGTCTCCCTCACAGCTGTTGTTGGATTGACAGGTCAGACAGGTAGGATTATAACTTTTTTTTTTTTCTTTAATAGTTGAACTGGATGGACTTTTGCCTTTTTTTCAGCCAGACTAACTATGTAACTATGCAACATCCCACTGTATAGATGGTAAAGAAATCCCTGGAAAATGCCTGGGGGGGAGCGACATGGGGTCCATAGTGAAAGCCCACAGAATTGGGGGGAGGGGTACTATTTGTACTAATTTTGTACTAATATAAAACTTTTTTAACTTAAATATACGTATTGACATATTTTTGGGGATGTGGTGTAAGTTCTGATTTTCTGGCTGATCCCTATATTTTGTTTGCAATAGTAATTTTAATGAAAGCATATATTTTTACATTGTATTTACTTAATGAGACTCACAGACTATCTGAAAGTGTTATTTTACACTGAAGATACTGAATCGTGACAGCTGCTCCTCCTTTGTAATACAAAGCAGTTCCCAGGTTTCATTTTGATAGCAAGTACAGTAAAGGAAATAAGTATTTGATCCCCTGGCTGATTCTGAATGTTCGCCCCTCACAAAGAAATGATCAGTCTAAAAATCGAATGTTCGGTGTATTGTAACACTGATACAGAATAGCAACAAAAAATTCAGCAGAAATGCGTCTAACAAATGATGACTGATCTGCATGTTCATGAGGGAAATAAGTATTTGATCCCCTTCACAAAACATGACTTGGTGGCAAATCCCTTGTTGGCAATCACAAAGGTCAGACGTTTCCTGTAGTTGGCCCCCAGGTTTGCACACATCTCAGGAGGGATTTTGGCCCACTCCTCTTGGCAGATCCTCTCCAAGTCTTTAAGGTTTGGTGGTTGACGTTTGGCAACTCGAACTTTCAGCTCCCTCCACAGATTTTTCAATCGGATTAAGGTCTGGAGACTGGCTAGGCCACTCCAGGACCTTAACCTCCTTGGCGGTATGATTCTTTCCGATTTTTGGTGCTGAAAGCGGTACCATTATTTTGCATGGAAATATGTAGTTTTTTTATTGTAGGCCTGTAATTTTTAGGAATAACTCACTGAAATCTGTCTGAACAAGAGTCTAAATCATACATTTAATTCAATAATATAATCAAACCAAAAACACTGAAATTTGAAACAGAGCGCCAAGTTCTCACATCGCTGAGCAAAGTCGCAAAATTGTTTTCAGTGTCTGATGAGGAATTTCCCCCACGAATCATTATCACTCAATTCTGCAAGTGGTTCTGATTTACTATCGCTGTTCTCTAGCTGATCTAAAACCCGCTTTTGACCTAAAGGGACACTTTTTGGACGTCATGGACGTTTCTCAGTTTCCAGGCAGAAAGAACAATCAAAATGCAGACAGGGGACAGGACAAAGCACTCGGGACAAAATGTATGTGAAATGGGTTGAAACAGCAATGTTTTACTATTTAGAATCGTTTTGAAAAAAATGACATTTTTTTAAAATTTTCAAATTTCCCGCCGCCGCCGGCGCCCGTACGTCCCGACGTCACAGGGACCGGAACACAGGAGCCGGATGCCGACATCAGACGGAGGAGATGGCCAGGAACACTGCAGGGGACACATCGTGGGAGCGAAGGACAAGGTAAGTGCTGCAGGGACTCCCTATGCAGTGCTGCATGGTAAGCCCGAGTGTAGCTCGGGGTTACGGCTTTTGGTATAGACATTTTACCCCGAGCTACACTCGGGAATACCGCTAGGGAGGTTAATGCGCTGCTTCTTCTTGAGCCATTCCTTTGTTGCCTTGGCTGTGTGTTTTGGGTCATTGTCATGCTGGAACACCCATCCACAAACCATTTTCAATGCCCTGGCTGAGGGAAGAAGGTTCTCACCCAAGATTTGATGGTACATTGCCCAGTCCATCGTCCCTTTTATACGGCGCAGTTGTCCTGTCCCCTTAGCAGAAAAACACAGTTGGGATGGTGTTCTTGGGGTTATAGGCAGCATTCCTCCTCCTCCAAACACGGCGAGTTGAATTGATGCCAAAGAGCTTGATTTTGGTCTCATCTGACCACAACACTTTCAACCAGTCCTCCTTTGCATCATTCAGATGTTTAGTGGCAAACTTCAGACGGGCCTGGACATGTGCTTTCTTGAGCAGAGGGACCTTGTGGGCACTGCAGGATTTCAGTCCTTGTCGGCGTAGTGTGTTACCAATTGTTTTGTTGGTGACTGTGGTCCCAGCTGCCTGGAGATCATTGACAAGATCCTCACGTGTAGTTCTGGGATGATTCCTCACTGTTCTCATGATCATTGACACTCCATGAGGTGAGATCTTGCATGGTGCCCCAGACCTAGGGAAATTGAGTGTTTTGTGGTTCTTCCATTTGTGAATGATTTCACCAAATGTTGTCACCTTCTCACCAAGCTGCTTGGTGATAGTTTGGTAGCGCAGTCCAGCCTTGTGTAGGTCTACAATCATGTCCCTGACATCCTTGGTTTTTGCCATGGTGGAGAATTTGGAATCCGATTGTTTGATTGCTCCTGTGGACAGATGTCTTTTTATATACAGGTAACATGAGATTAGCAGCACTCCCTTTAAGAGACTGCTTCTAATCTCAGCTTGTTACCTGCATGAAGGACACCTGGTAGCCAGAAATCCTGCTGAATGATAGGGGATCAAATACCTATTTCCCTCATGAACATTCAAATCAGTTCATCATTTGTTAGACATGCATTTATTTTGAATTTTTTGTTTGCTATTCTGTCTCTCAGTGTTACAATACACCGAACATTCGATTTTTAGACTGATAATTTCTTTGTGAGTGGGCAAACATTTTAGAATCAGCAGGGGAGCAAATACTTATTTCCTTCACTATAATTCCCATAATAGCAATGGGGAGAGGGCGGGGGGGCAGAGAGAGGTGAGAGAAGCAGGATGGAAGATACATTCTAGTAACTTTGTTGAAAATATTTATTTTCCTCTATGGCAAAGCAAAGAATGAAGGGCAGTTCTGAAGGCAAAAGAGGGTCCAACCCGGTAATAGCAGGGTGTAGCTAACAAAGTGTGCTTGTGAGTGGAGATTAGTTATCTTTTGAAAAACAGTTACACTAAAAATACATCCCTCTTCCTTGTTACATCCTTTATCGCAGTCAGAATATCTTTGTTCCTCAAAGTGTAGACAAACGGGTTGAGCATTGGAACCACCGCTGTATAGAGCAATGAGAACAACTTGTCTAATTCCCTAGAATGCTCAGATGCTGGTTTACTGTACAGTATAATGATTGGACCAAAGAAGATTATCACCGTGGTGAGGTGGGAGGAGCAACTGGAAAAAGCCTTCTGCCGCCCCTTTGAGGACCTAATGTTCAAAATGGCAGAAACGATGAATATATAGGAAGTTATAATAAACAAAAATGGCAAAGCGGACAGCAATATAATCTGAAATACCAGAAGTACGTTTCTACTTGTTCTATCACTAGAAGAAATGGCGTACAATGTAGTCAGCTCACAAAAGAAATGGTCAACGTTTTGTGGGGGACAGAAGGACAACAGAGATGTAGCTATTACGTTGATTGCTGCATCATTACCAGACGTAAAATAAATAAACAAAATGATTGCATTGCAAAAATCTTTACGTATTAATGAAGAATATTGTAACGGCTTACAGATTGCTACGTATCGGTCATAGGACATGGAGGTCAACACAAAAATATCACACACGGCTGACAAGGAGAAGAAGTAAACCTGAGCCATACAGGCAGAGAAAGTCATCCGGTGGTCATGTGTTAGGAGTATGGAGAGCAGATTTGGAAGAGTAACTGAAACATGTAAAACATCAGCTATGGCAAGGTTACCCAAGAAGAAATACATTGGAGTATGGAGCCGGGAACCAGACCCACCAGTAGAGCAATGGTCATGTTTCCAAGGATGGTCGTCAGATACATCAATAGAACTGCTGTAAATAGAAGACGTCGTCCAGTTTCAGAGGTGGAAAATGCTAAGATGTGAAATATGTTTCCTGTACTGTTTGAGCATTCCTTCATTTTCCCTGTCTGCAAAATATAAGGTAGAAAAATTTTTTATTCCTTTTTTATGAAAAATATACTTTTCATTAACATAATAACATTTAACATACCATAACGTACCGTGTAAGCTCTGGCACCATAAGAGAGCAGAGCAATTTGTGTACGTTTTTGCTAGGAAAACTTTTATGTTTTAATATGTATATACCGTATTTTTCACTCCATAAGACGCACTTTTTTCCCCCCAAAAAAAGGGGGGGAAATGTCAGTGCGTCTTATGGAGCGAATATGAAGCGGCCGGTCCGGTATTTCCACCGCCGCCATGTCAGAATACCGGGCCGGCCGCTCTGCAGCGGGACCTTATGGAGATGACTGCTGATCTTTGGGGAGGTGGGGAGCGGGTACCTGAATTTGACAGGTACCCGCTCTTACTTCCGCGGAGTTCCTCTATCCAGCGGCGCGCTGTCTTCCCGGTTTCTGTAGTGTGGGCGCTGGGCATGACAGCCGGGTGCCAAGTGCGCATGCGCAAGAAGCGGTGCTTTTTGTGAATGGTAAGGCGGTACCTGGGACACATGACAGATCCCAGAATCCGCCGGACCAATCACAAAGCGCAAGTGCTTCTCGCCCATGCGCACTGGGCACCCGGCTGTCATGCCGAGCGCCCACACTACAGAAGCCGGGTAGAAAGCGCGCGGCTGGATAGAGGAACAGGCAAGATCAAAGAACAACTCCGCGGAAGTGAGAGCGGGTACCTGTCAGATTCAGGTACCCGCTCCCCACCTTCCCAAAGGTCAGCAGTCATCTCCTGTACTGTGTCCGCAGTCTCTGGTCATCCCTGTACTGTCCGCAGTTTCTGGTCATCCCCTGTACTGTGTCCGCAGTCTCTGGTCATCCCCTGTACTGTGTCCGCAGTCTCTGGTCATCTCCTGTGCTGTGTCCGCAGTCTCTGGTCATCTCCTGTACTATGTCTGCAGTCTCTGGTCATCCCCTGTACTATGTCCGCAGTCTCTGGTCATCTCCTGTACTGTGTCCGCAGTCTCTGGTCATCCCTGTACTGTGTCCGCAGTCTCTGGTCATCTCCTGTACTATGTCCGCAGTCTCTGGCCATCTCCTGTACTGTGTCCGCAGTCTCTGGTCATCCCTGTACTGTGTCCGCAGTCTCTGGTCATCTCCTGTACTGTGTCCGCAGTCTCTGGTCATCTCCTGTACTGTGTCCGCAGTCTCTGGTCATCTCCTGTACTGTCCGCAGTCTCAGGTCATCCCTGTACTGTCCGCAGTCTCTGGTCATCTCCTGTACTGTGTCTGCAGTCCATTGGTTCAGCATTTTTTTTTTCCTGTTTTCTGCCTCTAAAACCTAGGTGCGTCTTATGGTCAGGTCCGTCTTATGGAGCGAAAAATACGGTATTTCATTTTTCATTATTATTTTCATAGCAACACTCATAATACCCCGGTCACATCGGGTGTGACTTGGCATGTGACTTGCATGCCCTGCGACTTGCAAATCGTATGCCATGTCGCACCCTATTGTCTGCTATTAGAGCGCTCATACCGGTGCGGTTCTGACTTGGACGGAGTCGCACCGATTGCTAAAGTAGTACATGCGCTACTTTTCTTGCGATTTGCATAGACTATGTGTCAGATGTCTTGTAAATCGCAACTGAAATCGTCAGATCACCCAATTTTGAAATTGTGCAACTTTTCTGTAAGTCTCACAATTTCAAAATCAGCTTTGATGTGACTGGGAATAAACAAACGAAACCAGCTCTCAAATCCTCAGGCAGACTAGAAGGAATTCAGAATGCCAAACGAAGAGGTTCAGCCCTTCAAAGATCGGGAAATCTGGATACTAATGAACAAAAAACAAACAAGGGGCGCACTCTCGCCGTGCATTACCCTGGTACACCACGTGTTTATTGTGTAGAGCTCTGAGGAAGGGGGTTCGCCACCCGAAACGCGTCAGCTTATCCCTAATTAGGGCACAGCATTGCATTGACTGCCATTGTGGACTATTTATTCCGCTTTGGTTTGTGAGTATATATCTGATTACACAATAAACAGGCGGTGTACCACGGTAATGCACGATGAGAGTGCTCCCTTGTTTGTTTTTTGTTCATTGATGTGACTGGGGGCTAAAGAGGTTGATTTACTTAAACTACTGTAGAGAGTGCAAAATCTGGTGCAGCTGTGCACGGTAGCCAATCATGATTTTTCATGATGAAAAAAGGCTCTGGACAGCATCGGGAACTGGAAGAGTTAAAAAAAAATTAAAACGCAAACGCTTATAAATTTTTCTGCGTTTATCCACGTTTAGCCACGCTTACAAGCGTTTTGCGTTTGAAACACTGATAAAATCGACTGCTGAACGCAAGTTTTCTGCATTCAGAAAAACGACTGTAAACTCAACTGCCTGTAAACGATGATGTGTACATGGACACATAGGAAAACATTAGGGAGAGTTCAGGAGCTGCTGAAAAAAATGCAGAACAGCTCCTAAATGTGAGTTTATCAGCTGCAGTGTATATGGAGCCTTAAGGGGAGAAATAATTGATGCCAGTAGGAGGAATAATACTCCATTGTTGGTGTCAGTGGAAGGAATTATGCCCCATCATTGGTGTCAGTGGGAGGAATAGTGCCCCATCATTGGTGTCTGTGGAAGGAATTATGCCCCATCATTGGTATCACTGGGAGGAATAGTGTCCCATCATTGGTGTCAGTGGGAGGAATAGTGCCCCATCATTGGTGTCAGTGGGAGAAATAGTGCCCCATCATTGGTGTCAGTGGGAGGAATAGTGCCCCATCATTGTTGTCAGTGGGAGGAATAGTGCCCCATCATTGGTGTCAGTGGGAGAAATAGTGTCCCATCATTGGTAACAGTATGAGGAATAGTGCCCCATCATTGGTGTCAGTGGACAGAATAGTGCCCCATCATTGGTATTAGTGGAGGAATAGTGCACCATCATTGGTATTAGTGGGAGGAATATGCCCCATCATTGGTGTCAGTGGGAGAAATAGTGCCCCATCATTGGTGTCAGTGGGAGGAATAGTGCCCCATCATTGGTGTCAGTGGGAGGAATAGTGCCCCATCATTGGTGTCAGTGGGAGGAATAGTGCCCCATCATTGGTGTCAGTGGGAGGAATAGTGCCCCATCATTGGTATTAGTGGGAGGAATAGTGCCCTATCATTTGGTGTCAGTGCAAGGAATTATGCCCCATCATTGGTGTCAGTGGAAAGAATAGTGCCTCATTGTTCGTGTCAGTAGCAGGAATTAACTCTTCAAGGGCCAGATAAAGGCAAGCAAAAGGGCCACATCCAGCCCCAGGGCCTCAGTTTGGAGACCACTGATATAGAGGAAGAGTTACTCCACCAACATGTGAAATTTGAACAACCTATGTAAGTTAATAAAAAGGTATAGTTACTTTTTCATTATTTTCAGTAAAGCCCTCAAATATTTTTTTTCTAAAAAGTATTTCTAAATTTATTATCTAAAAAGTGTTTCAGCTAGAAGCTTTTTTTTATTTTTTTGGTAAGGATTGCAAAGTTTACCTGACAGCATTTTATCAGCAGATTACAAATATCTATGTGATGATGAGATATAAATAGAGGATGTAAGGCCTCTGGGAGGACATAATTGTCACCTCAACGGGATTAGGATGTTGATTAAAAATTGCTGAAATTAATGAATACAATTGAGGATTAAGCAATAAAGTCATGCAGAATGTTTCCAGCGTATGCCATACTTTTTGTTACTAACTGAAGTTAACTTTTTCAATTGAATTGTTAAAGCGTAACTAAATCCCAAAAAGAAAAAAATTAATATATTATAGCTAACCAATCTTAAGATGTGGTGGCTGCATTAACTTTCTCTTTTATCAAGCTAGTATTCCTTCATTTTCATGTGGTGATCGGCCAGTAGTACACCTCCTGTCTTAGGGTGGCTACATTCAGTCCTCCATGATGACGTCACAACACAGGCTCCTCCAGTCTTGCCTGGTCTACTAAATTTCAATATCTACATAAAAATTGCAGAGTTGGACTTCGCAGTGCACAGGATGAACCCATGTGGATGAAGTGGTGTCAATGTCTGGCTTAAAAAGCTGTAAAAAACACAAGATGCAATCAAGCCACTATGGACCAAGATCCCTAATTAGTGTTTCCAGCACCTTAGCCAGGCTTGAAAAATTGGGGCCATTTTCTAAGTAAATCAATGCCCTACCTAGTACTAGAGCGATGTACCTAATCCAGCATATGTTGCGCTCCTAAAAATATTGATTTATCTTTTGCAAAACAATTTAATAAAATCCTGTTCCTCTTCCTTGTTAAATTTCTTAAAGCATTTAAAATATCTTTGTTCTTCAAAGCGTAGACAAACGGGTCGAACATTGGAACCACAGTTGTATAAAGCAACTGTCAGCATCTTGACGCTGTAGATTCCTACTCTTGAAAAAGCTTTAATGCGTCCCTTTGAGGACTGAGTTTTCAAAGTTCCTTAGATTCTTTAGATTCTGGTCTGGTGTACATCACAATAATTGAACCAAAGCTTTAATGCTTCACAATGATTGGACCAAAGCTTTAATGCTTCACAATGATTGGACCAAAGCTTTAATGCATCCCTTTGAGGCCTGAATTTTCAAAGTTCCTTAGATTCTTTAGATTCTGGTCTGGTGTACATCACAATGATTGGACCAAAGGACAAGATTACCATGGTGAAGTGGGAGGTGCAACTGGAAAAAGCTTTAATACATCCCTTTGAGGCCTGAATTTTCAAAGTTCCTTAGATTCTTGTCTGGTGTACATCACAATGATTGGACCAAAGAACAAGACTACTGTGGTGAGGTGGGAGGTACAAC